GACGACACCTCCGCTACGTTCCCCCCCCCCCCCCCACACACACACACTACCCCCCCCCACCCCAGCCTGCCCGACGAGGCTGCTCAGTTGGACTCTTGTCAGCTTGGCTTTGTCTCTCCTGTTGCTGTTCATCCTCTCATTCCCTTCTTCTTCTTCTCTTGTGCGTCTCCTGGGAGCTCCGAATCTAATCTCCCCCCCAGTCTTCGCTCTGTTTGCTTTCTTGCTTTGCGACAGCTACACACGGCTCCTCCAGTCCCGAACCTCCTAATCTCACCTTTATCGGCCTCCCGATCGGCCCTCTCTGATGTAATCCCTACGAGCATGGACCTAATGAGCCTCGCACTACATCCTGTCTGCTTTACCTTTCTCCACCCGGCTCCTTATCGGGACCGTGGAGGCATGACGTCACTGTAATCTGGGGGATAAGTTTAAGAGCAGGCAGATGCACGTACACTTGCACATGGACTGAGTTCACAACAGACACCGGCAGCAAAGCACCAGATAGGAAAGGTTGTGTCGTAAAAGAGATCTTGTTGGTGTAGATCTTGTCTTGACAAACATATAGCAGGGTTTTTTTGTTTGTTGCTAACTATGTGTAGTTATCTTGAGTTAGGGAGCACTTCTTTTCCCCTCTGGCCTGTCCATCTTCAATCCAACTTCTGAGCTGTTTGGAAGCAGCGTGCGTACTTAAGCTCCTCGCTTGTTCCGTTTGCATGGAACTGGGCCGGTAACTGTCGGTGTTCCCGGCGTGACATGTCCTCAGTGGGACGTGTGAGAAGGTGGACCCGACAGAGAGAGTTCAGCTTCTCTTGGTTCTCTCCGTTCTGAGAGAAGAGACGGAGCCAGAAAAGCAAACGAACGCTTTGTCAAGTGTGCAGATGTGAGCCGGCTGCGGGTTGGTTTCAGACTCGTGGCGTTTGCTCCAACACTCTCCATTTCAATGATGCATTGCTCTTTTGAGGCAGAGCAGCAGTGGAACTAATTTCTGAGGGTATGGATTGCAATGTTTCTCCTTTTTTTTTTCTCCCCCTCTCGGTTTCTCACTATTGAACGGAGACATAAATGCCCCCCTCTCTGTGCGGTTGTTACATGGAGGGAATACGTCTCCCTGCTTCTGTGATCAAGTGCACGCAGTGTACAATATAGTCATATCTGCTTGAATTCACGTATTCCTCCGTGTGTGTGTGTGTGTGTGAGGGCTTGTGGGTGATGCAGGTGGGTGTGAGCTGTAAGGCTTGACAGTGTTCCAGTAAGTCTAATCCAGTCTTGAGTCGGCGCATTGACTTATCGAGCCGCGCTTGTTAGCTCAGAGAAGCTCCGCTTCCCGCTACATTTTAATCAGTTCACGTGCACGTATGGAGACAAACCGTCCCCGGAGTGGTACATTTTAAATACGAGGGATTCATTCAATCCTGTGTGTCTTCTCTGTTCCTTTAAACAGCAACCTTTTTGGGTTATTACGCATTTATATACACATCAAAATCAAAATCTCAACAATCGAAAGGAACCAACGATGTATATAATGATGTATATTGTGTATTCTTTTGCATATTTTTTTACGTTTGCGTCTTGTGTCCCTTCAGGTATTCGCCCCCAAATCATGAACGGGCCGATGCACCCGCGCCCGCTGGTGGCGCTGCTGGACGGCCGCGACTGCACCGTGGAGATGCCCATCCTGAAAGACCTGGCGACCGTCGCCTTTTGCGACGCCCAGTCCACACAGGAGATCCACGAGAAGGTAAAAGACACACAGGAACACACACGCTAACGCTCACCGAGTTCACCGAGTGTCCCCCTCCATCACGCCGCTCGCATCTGAAGCTCGCTATATTGACCCCTCGCACACTTGCCAGTTAAATTATAGTAGCTTCATTATGATTTAATGTCACTCGCGGCACAAAGCGTGACGCCCGCATGCTAGCGCCATGGCTCTAATAGAGAGCCTTGTATGGCGGGGATGCGGTGTAATTACATTGGCTTGTAGAGGCTCTTTATTGGTTTTTATGCAGCGCTTCAGCTGAAAAACAATATACGTCTCCAGAGATGGGTATCGCCCAGGTGTGTGCTATCTCTGCCTCTGAAGACAGAGCCGGAGCCCGCTGCATCTCTTTTCCCTTCCACGGTCTTTATGAAAATTGGACATATTAAAAAAAAAGGGGGGGGAGCATTTGCATAGAGATCAATTCAATCAAGGACCTTGGGCGGCAAAGGGGGAGGTGGGGGGCGCGGGCAGCTCTGTGTTTGTTTTAACACTACCTTATCATGAGAAACATGATTGTAATGTTCACCTCGGCAGCATATTCAGCAGTTCGCTGTAATAACTCGCGGTCCGGATACCCAGAGGGGCGGCATAGATTGAAAATGTCCAATCTCGCCTCTCTGTGCCGAGATGTCGTGTTGATAACCGCCGAGTAAAGCGGTTGAGGCAGACATGTCTGAACGAACACGGACACACACACACACACACACACACACAAACAATGTAGGAAGTTATGGGAGAGACCGTCCAAGGGTGGAATATGAGAGTGGCCTTAGGTTATGTCGGGTCCGCTACCGGATAATCCTTTATTTCCCAGGTGATGGGGAAGTAGGGAAACAGTCGGGCATATCCCGAGCCAGGGTGGAGCACCGGCGCCCCTGCGTCTCCGTCACAGCCACTCCGCTTCCTACGCGGCTTGTAAAAGTTGGATTATAGCCCGAATGACGCAGGACCGATGCTGATTTATCGCACTGCTTGACCCCGCGGCCGCTGAGTTCAGCGATTAAACCACCGAGAGGATAGCCACAAAATGCTTTCAAATGCATCCCAGAGCTGTCAGAAACTTTTTCTCCCGGTATCCTGAGGTCCTTAAATGCATCTTACAGAATTCAGCGGCAGTACGTTGCACACAGTCTTCTGTTCTCACCAGTTAGAGATTTTCATTTGTGAGTCCTGTATGTTATGCGTAAATGTGAAGAATATTAAGTCATTGAAAGGTGGATTTTGAAAAAAGTACGAGTCTCCTTGTGTGACTATTGTCGAGAAAATCCACAAAAACTCATAAAAGCCTTGGACTAAACTGGCAGGTTCTTTTTTTCGTACCTCAGCTGTTATTGAAGCTGTCATTAGCATTATTCAAGCTGAACTTTTGTTTGTTTGCAATCACAAAAGGAGCCTCAGCTTTTTCTTCACGACCTGCCCGTCGTTAATGAGTGAAATTATCCTGCAGCGGCTTTTTTTTCCCCCCTTCCTCCCTGTGTTCAATGTTTATTATCCTGCAAAAAGTGAAAAATGTGCAGTACTGCTTAAGAGGCAAAAAAACAGAGCAGCGACCCTGCCAGTTGGAAAAAGTCTCCTCGCTGTGCTCCAAGCAGCCCTCCACCACTCTGCATCCACTCCAGTGGGATGACCTCATAACCATAAAATCCCTCCCCAGTTAGCCACATTAACGGCGAAACACACACATATAGCACGGCGCGCTCACCCAATCCAAACTGCTTTTGGAAATTCTCGACCACTCGGGATGCCTGGTCAGGAAGTGCAGGCATGTTCAGGAGTGATTGATGCAAAAGGCATTAGGGCACGGCTTCCACTGGGGAAAGGGGCTATATTTATGGTCAGAGTTTCCATTGAATAAACTACATTCGAGGTGAATTCCTCCAGAAAGGGGGGGGAAAAAAACGTCTACATCCCCAACTTAAAACCAACAAAAGACCTTCAAGCTTTGGCGCAGAGGGAAAAAGTTCTGAACGTGTGTGTGCGTGTGTGTGTGTGTGTGTGTGTGTGTGTGTGTGTGTGTGCGTGCTATTGTCTGCATGTGTGTGAGGAGCGATTTACCCTTGAACTAGTATCTGGAAGGCCTGGCCAGGACACGGCGCTAATAAAAGCAGTATGGAAATTCAGAGCTAATCTACTAATCACAGGAAAGCTAATTCAGTTTGGCTGGAGGTGAATGTGGAGCTGTTATTTAGGCGCTGACAGGGGCCTGATACCGAGGAGGGGGGGGGAGATAGTGTCGATCCTCATCGCGGTGAATCACAGGCCAGGTCACCTTGTCTGTGTTGAGAGCCAAAAGAGTCACTGGTGTCTCACAATCACGGATCCCTTTACGCGATTCTTGAGTTTTTTGGGTTGTTTTTTTTTTAAGCACTTGAGGAGCTACTTACCACCAAGCGGGGGAAAAAAACTTGTTTCGGTACTACTGGGAGGAAAGCTGAGTCAGATTCAACAGCACCTCCATGTGGTTAGTCAGAAAGCTCCGTTTGTTTTTGGCTCGTTATTCTTCAGGTTTGATTTGATCACCTGCTTTAGGGTGAGTGAGATCTCTTTGGTTTATTTGGGATTTTCCCAGCGCACATTCAGAGAAGGTCAGTCTGTCATCAGATGACATGTGTGGTTCTGCGGGCCAGTGTCCAGTTGTCCAGCTTGTTTCTAACAAAAGGGAAAAACTTGATTCGGTTCAAAGATGCTGATGTAAAAGAGAATGCTTAAATACGGTACGATGCAAAATAAAGGCAATTTGCAGTTAACATTGAAAAGTAGTTAGTGGCCTTAGATTCTAATTCTATCAGAAATTCTGAAGCCTTTTTAAAAAATGTGTCTGGATTTGAACAGTTGGAGTGTCCAGAAGCTGCTGTTATATCTGAGTTTGCACTGCAATCAGGGCTCAGCTCGACCTCGCTGTCCACTCAGTTGCTCAGATCCTCCATCCGAAAACACCCTCGGGGTCTATATTGTGGTTGTGATGATCACGCAGAAGCACAGATTCTGTCCGTGTGTCTGTTTTGTT